GTTTTCCCTCTAAGATCATGAACAAGGCATGGATGGTCTGTTCTCACCATTTTTATTTAACTCTGTACTGCAGATTTTAGTCAATGTAGGGAAGCAAGAGAAAGCAATAAAAGGCATCCAGATCAGAAAGGAAGAGGGGAAAACTATCTTTATTAGCTGATGATGTAATCATTTCTATAGAAAATCCTACGAAGGGGCACCTGGGTGGCTCAGTGGGTTAAGCCGCTGCCTTCGGCTCAGGTCATGATCTCAGAGTCCTGGGATCGAGCCCCGCATCGGGCTCTCTGCTCAGCAGGGAGCCTGCTTCCTCCTCTCTCTCTGCCTGCCTCTCTGCCTGCTTGTGATCTCTCTCTGTCAAATAAATAAATAAAATCTTAAAAAAAAAAAAAAAAAAGAAAATCCTACGAAATCTACAAAAAAAAAATACTAGCACTAATAATTGAGTATAGTAAAATTGCAGGATTTAAAGTAAACACATAGAAACTGAATCTTTATATACTAGCAATGAACAATCAGAAATTGAAATAAAAAATACTTTTATATCTAGGAAAATGTTTCTATGGTCAGTGTCAAAGAAATTACTGCCTATGTTTCTCCTAAGACTTTTATGCCTTCAGGTGTCATATTTAAGTCTTTAATCCACTTTGAGTTTTTCTGTGTGTCTTGAGTAAGAAAGTGGTCCAGTTTCATTACTCTGCAATGTAGCTGTCTAGTACCATCTGTTGAAGAGACTCTCTTTTCCCCACTGTATATTCTTGCTTCCTCTGTCATAGATTAACTGATCATATAAGCATAGGTTTATTTCTGGGCTCTCTATTCTGCTGCACTGATCTATGTGTCCACTTTTGTGCTAGTACTATCCTGTTTTGATTACTACAGATTTGTAGTATATCTTAAAATCTGAGATTGCGATACCTCCAGCCTTCTTCTTCTTCTTCTAGATTGCCTTGGCTATTGGGGTCTTCTGTGATCCATACATTCCATACATAGTATTTTTGTTCTAGTTCTATGAAAAACGCTGTCAGTATTTTGATAGGGACTACACCAAAATAACAAGCTTATGCACAGCAAAGGAAACCATCAATAAAACAAAAAGGCAACCTACTATATGGGAGAAGATATTAGAAAATAATATATAAAATAAGGGGTTAATACCCAAAATATATAAAGAACTTCTACAATACAAAAAAAAAGTCCAATTAAAAAATGGGCAGACACCCTGAATAGACATTTTTCCAAAGAAGACATACAAATGGCTAAAAGACACATGAAAAGATGCTCAATATCACTCATTATCAGGGAAAGGCAAATCAAAACTACAATGAGCTATCTATCACCTTACCCGTCAGAATGACTAGACTCAAAAAGATAAGAAATAACAAGTGTTCGTGAGGATGTAGAAAAAAGGGAACACTTTTGCACTGCTGGTGAAAATGTGAATTGATGTAGCCACAATGGAAAACAGTGTGGAAGTTCCTCAAAAATTTAAAGAAATTATTGCCATATGATCCAATAACTCCACTACCGGTTATCTACCCAAAGAAAACAAAAATACTCATTCAAAAGGATATATGCACTCCTATGTTTATTGCAGCATTATTTACAATAGCCAAGATATGAAAGGAACTTAAGTGCCCATCAACAGACGAATGGATAAAGAAAATGTGATACACACACACCCACATATACAAACTGGAATATTACTCAGCCATAAAAAGAATGAGATCTTGCCATCTGCAACAACGTAGGTGCACCTAGGGGCATTATGCTAAGTGAAACAAGTCAGCGAAAGACAAATACCATATGATTTCATTCATACTTGGAATTTAAGAAATAAATGAATAAAAAAAGAAACAGGGGTGCCTGGGTGGCTCAGTGGGTTAAGCCTCTGCCTTCAGCTTAGGTCATGATCTCAGGGTCCTGGAATCGAGCCCCGCATTGGGCTCTGTGCTTGGCAGGGAGCCTGCCTCCCCCTTTCTCTCTGCCTGCCTCTCTGCCTACTTGTGATTTCTGTCTGTCAAATAAATAAATAACATCTTAAAAAAAAAAAAAAGAAACAAACAAACAAAAAACCCAGACTCTTAAATCCAGAGAACTGGTGGTTGCCAGAGGGGAAGTGGGCTAGTAGAAGAATTAGTGTAACAGATAAAGGGGACTAAGAGTATACTTATCTTGATAAGCACTGAGTTATGTATAGCAAAGGTGAATCATTATATTGTACACCTGAAAGTAATATACTATTGTATGTTAATTGTACTTCACTTCAAACTTTTCCCTATATTTATTAATACAGAAATTACACAAAAAAGTCTTTATAAAAATATTAAAAAATATTTTTATGACATCACAAATATAAAATACTTATGGATAAATCTATTAAAAATGTACAAGGCCAATACACTGAGTCAAAATATTATTGAGAGCTATTAAAAATCTAAACAAATTGAAAAAATGTGGTCTTCATGAATTAAAATATTCAATATTGTTAAGATGTCACTTCTCTTCAAATTGATCTATAGATTTAACATAGTCCAAGTCAAAATTCCAGTGGCATTTTTAGAGAAATTGACAAGATTTTTCTAAAACGTGTATGAAAATTAAAGGAATCTAGCCAAAACAACTTCGAAAAAAACAAAGTTTGAGGATTTATCTTATCTGACTCCATGACTTATTATTAAGACACAATAATCAAGATATTGTGGTACTGGTGGAGGGATAGACGCAGATAAACGGAAAAGAATAAAGAGTCCAGAAATAGATTCACATACATATAGTCACTCAACAAAGATGCAAAGGCAATTCAAGGGTGGAAAGGATAGCTTTTTTTTTTTTTAATTTTTATTTTTTTTTTTTAAGATTTTATTTATTTATTTGACAGACAAAGATCACAAGTAGGCAGAGCAGCAGACAGAGAGAGAGGAGGAAGCAGGCTCCCTGTTGAGCAGAGAGCCTAATGCGGGGCTTGATCCCAGGACCCTGGAATCATGACCTGAGCCGAAGGCAGAGGCTTTAACCCACTGAGCCACCCAGGCGCCCCGAACGGATAGCTTTTAAAAAATGGTATTAGTGCTTGCTACAGCAACACATATACTAACAAGGACAATGTGCATTTAAAAAAATAAATTAAATAACAATAAAAATGGTTTTACAACAAGTAGATATCCATGTGCCAAAAAAGCAGGGGGCTCAGCATTCCTCTATATCTTGAATTTTGAATCATATTAAAAAATTAACTCATAAATATTGAACCAAAATGTTAAACCTAAAATTAGAAAGATTCTACAATATGAAGGAGAAAAATCTCTGTGACTTTGGTTAGGCAAACATTTCTTAGATCAATACCAAAAGCATGAGGCATGGGAAAAAAGTAATAAACTAAACATCAACATTAACAAGTTCTGCTCTTTGAGAACCCTGTTAAGACAAGGAAGAGAAACCATTGCTGGGGGGGAAAAAAAGGTGCAAATCACGTATCTGATAAAGGACTTAACATCCAGAAGATATAAGAATGCTCACAACTCGAGTAAAAACACGAAAACTTAATTCAAAAAAAAGCAGAATTTGAACACACACCACTAGAGATGTACAAATGAAAAATAAGCCCATGAGACGATGCTCAACATTATTAGGCATAAAAGAAATGCAAACTAAAACTGCAGTGAAATACCACTATGTACCCATAAAGAATGACTAAACTTAAAAACAAGATGGGCCATACCAGGATATGGAGGAACTAGCACTGTCACACCCTACTGTGGGAAAATAGTTTGGTTGTTTCTTAAAAAGTTAAACATACAACTGCAATTTAACCGAGCCATTGCCAATTTAGGTATTTACCCAAGAGAAACTAAAGGATATATCCCTGCAGAGACTTGTATACAAGTGTTCATAGTAGCCAGAAAGCAGAAACAACCGAAATGTCCATCAACAGGTGAAAAGATAAAGAAGCTATGCTCTTGGGGGCGCCTAGGTGGCTCAGTGGGTTAAAGCCTCTGCCTTTGGCTCGGGTCATGATCCCAGGGTCCTGGGATCGAGCCCCACATGGGGCTCTCTGCTCAGTGGAGAGCCTGCTTCCTCCTCTCTCTCTGCCTGCCTCTCTGCTTACTTGTGATCTCAGTCTGTCAAGTAAATAAATAAAATCTTTTAAAAAAAAAAAAAAAGAAGAAGAAGAAGCTATGCTCTAACACAATAGAGTACTACTCAGCATTAAAAACAATGAATTATTGGTAAGTGCAACAACATGGATCAATCTCAAAATAATTATGCTGTATTAAAGAGGCTGAGAGAGGGAGAGGGAAAGAGAGAGACAGGGCAAATAGTGTATAATTCCATTTATATAAAATTCTAGAAAATGCAAATTAATCTATGATGACATAAATCAGATTAGTGGTCCCCTGGGGACTGGAAGGGTAAAAAGGGCAGGAGTGAGGAATTTCAAAGAGGCACAAGAAAACTTCCGGAGGTAATGAATATGTTTACCACACTGATTGTAGTGATAGTTTCACAAGTCGAAGCATATCAAAATTTATCAAACTGTACACATTAAATAGTGCTTTGGTCAAATTCAACTCATTACTAAGGGCAAGAATATTAAAATAATCAATTCTTGGGCACCTGGGTGGGCCAGTTGTTTAAGTGTCTGCCATCAGCTCAGGTCATGATCCCAGAGTCCTGGGATGGAGTCCTGCATCAGGCCCCCTGCTCAGCAGGGAGCTTGCTTCTCCTTCTCCCTGTGCCTCTCCCGCCTGCTCGTGTTCTCTCTCTTGCTTGTTCTTGCTCTCTCTCAAATAAATAAAATCTTAAAATACTAAATAAATTAATTAAATAATCCTCTGAAAAACTGAATTACTTGTTCAAGAGGGATATGCAAAAGCAAATGAAATCAGTAATTCACATTCATAATATTTTTGATATATTGATGGTTATTTGTAGATTTTTGATGGGTTCTGGACAAGTGAACTACATCTAAGAAAAATATACTGGAAAATGAACAATCATACCTTGATTTGTGCAAAGGGTCTTTCATAACCTCCAACATAGAGCAGACCAACATTCTGAGGAAGTAACCTAGAAAATAAAACAAAAACTTATTATTTTGAAAACACTCTTCCTTATATAAGAAGCTCGTATAATCATCATAATTTGTAGATACTGTGAAAAAGCTACCTTTGCAGTTATTCTTGTCTTTTGCTCTATGAGATAGCTGAGGAATAATCCTTTTTTTAACTAATTTGGAAATAGGTTGTCACAGGAGGGTATTTCCCTTTTTTGTTTGTTTTTTTTACTCAAGTATAATTAACATACAGTGTTACATTAGTTTCCAGTATACAATGTAATGATTCAAGAAAAATTCTTATACTTCAGAAAATAGCAGTAAATGATAAGAATGGAAACTAAGAGGTAGAAGAGTCTAACATATTAGTAATTCTGGCAAAATTACTACATAGTATCTCTGGGAAAAAACTAAAAGAAGTAATGCATGTATTTAAAAATCTGTAAGGATTAAATTCAAGAAACACTCATTGTACACCTATACTATGTACTGTAGGAGATAATACAAACCTAAATAACTCAGTCCCAAAAATATAAAGGAAAACCAGACACACAAATAAATAATGCTACCAAAAGGCGGTCTCTGATAAGGGCAATATATATGTATTTGCCACTGTAAAATAGTGGAGTAAAAGGTACTTGCTATCAAGGGAGCTGGAAAAGTTCAAATAGGTGAGATTTGGTTCAGTCTTAAAGGGTGGGTAAGGCAAAGGGAGAAATTTAAACAAGTCGTGAAAATGTAGAAGATCTGAGACAAAAAGTAGACAAGTATGGCTAGAGTGAGGGATAATTTAGTTGAAGATGAAAACCCAAAGGAAGTTTGGAATAAACTACAAAGAATGTCAAATGCCATATCTTTACTTTATAAGCAATATGAAGTCATATTTCTGTAAGATGTACTTAGTTCTTATAAAAAAATACACATGAAAATAAAAAGCAAACCATACAGAGCATTAAAAAAAAATAGTAAGTTACCTTCTAGGAATCATCCTTCCCTTCCTATTTCCACTTAAAAGGGAGCTATCATTCCTGACTGCATTAAACAATGTGAATGAAGAAACACCATCATTTGAACTGCGCTTGTGGAGCGTATAGTGTTACAGGGTATGAGAAGAACATAAACATTCTTATGATTATCTCATTTTTCTTTTATCATAGATCTTTTCTCAATGGACACTAACTCCCTTCTTAACCTTAGTGTACATAAAGAATATGAAAAAACTTTGCCTATACTCCTTGCCTACAGGAACCAGGCCAAAACACATCTCCTCAGAGTCTAGGTAATGAAAATTAATAGCATTTTACAGCAGGTAAAAAAATGATCTCAAGGATGACTGTATAATTCTATTGCATGAATCTGAAAATGAAACACTGAGTAGTATTTAAAGTGACCAAAAGACTATAAACTCAAAACAATCTTATGGAAATTTCTCAGGATACCATATTGGTCTAATCATAAAAAATGAGAACACAAGATTATCACAACCATCCGTTTAAATTTATAGTTAGTGACTTCAAAAATTCTACTTCAGTAATTCCAGGATATGAATTTCTTCATATTTTAACTTCTCTGAAAACTGGATGCCTCTGATATTCTATGGTATCTTATAATCACTGTTTCCATTGACTCAGTCTAGGAAGACTAAGAAAGCACACTCTCAAAGCACCTTAGATTTTACGAAATAAGGTAGATAGACATTCAATCTCCCAGGAACATTCTCTGCTCCTCGACATTCTTTAAAGGCTCATAAAGCATTAAAAGCTACTGAAAGAATGTTAATAGCTGATGAATGCAATCTTGATCAAACCAAGTTAGCAAAAAGCTACTTAATTTTGAAATATAAGTGATACTTGCAGTAATTCATTTTAGCATGTTGTTGAAGGTCATAAACAGGACTAAAGGCATTTGTTCACTGAATGTAAGTAGAAAGCATAGGCAATATCTCTAAACCTCAACTGTGAAATGGAGAATTTCTTAGTCATCAATTAACATATAAGGAATTAAATCTCACAAATCATTGCCAGTACCACAATTTAATGTTAGTTATATATAGCAGTGGTAATTTATTTCCTATATAATAAATGTTCACAAAAACCTTAATAAACCCCCTTCAGAAGTAAGAATAGTCACTGTTCATACAAATAAAGATGTTAGAGAAAGAAGAGAATAAAAGCTGGTTGACATTTAAAAATCAATATGCTTCTAATTACTATGCATACGCATTTCAGGAAGCTCGCCAATATACCATTTAGTGTGCCCCTCTTCCTCCAACTTGCCTATCTAACAGCTACCTTTCCTTAAACAAGAAATTTCTTTAATATATCAATTATGTATCATATACATGTTTCACTTTTTAAATACTGTTCTCTCTCATTCATATACCTATTATTACTTACCACAGATTATATTACCACCATCAACTGAGTGGGTTTTAATATGTACCATAATCTAAATGCCTGGTATGTACAAAATAATTAACACTCTGAAAACACTTTTAAGATGGGACATTTCTTTAACCATTTTTACATTTCAAAAAATTATTTTACCAAATTGTATACATAATTGTTGTCAAATAATAGACCATTTTATGGTGACAGGGTACTTGCATATAATAAAGTAATCACACATTTTAAATCCCCAGAGTAGGGCATTAATTCAGCACTGATAAGTGCATTCATATGTATACATTAAAATAGAAAACCTGACTCATTTAGTACTAGATAATTGCTTTGCCCTTAAGTTACATGAACGTTAACATAACCTTTATACAAATGCTAGCAACTCCTGAAATATTTGCTTGTAACTAAATACTTCTGTGGTATGGCTATCAAAGAGGGAAAGAGCAGGGCTCTGGGTGGCTCAGTTTGGTCAAACATCTGACTCTTGATCTCAGGGTCATGAATTCAATCCCCAGTTAGGCTCCAGGCTGAGGACAGAGCCTACTTAACAGAAAAAAAAAAAAAAAAAAAAAGAGGAAAGTAGCAATAAGACAGCAATCAGCAGTAAGAGAGCAATAAGGCATGTGGGCAGGAAATCAGGGATGGACCTATTAAGAGTTTTTGAAAAGGTGCACACAGGTAAGACTAATGTTCATTTTGCTTCAAATTCCCAAATACAATATTAACAAATACTTATCCTGGAAAGAATGCCATAAAGTTATTTCCAGAAAAGTTTCTCACATAAAGGAAAAATAAAACTTGTCAGGTAATAAAATGAACATTATTTAAGAGGACCTCATTCACCATAATCTAATGATATATCAGATATTTTAAAAAGTTTTAAAAGGAAACTGAGTCTATAATTGCTTCAAATCAAAAATTTAAAAAAGGAAAGGGAATCTTTTTAAAATAAAAATAAGCTAAATAACTCAAAATTAACTACTCGGCCTATAGCCCATAATTGAAATACTTGCTAATAGATATGTCTTTCAACTGCAATAAAATATCCTGGGGGGGGGGAAGCACAGCTTGTTTGTTTGTTTATTTGTTTTTAAAGCAGAGAGCAGGAACATCCAAGCAGAGCAGTGGTTGGGGGGGTGGGCAGAGGGAGAGGGAGAAAAAGGATCTTAAGCAGGCTTCAAGCCCAGTACAGATCATGACCTGAGCTGAAGTCAAGAGTCAGTTGCTTAATAGACTTTGCAAACCAGGTGCCCCAAAATTTACAGTATCTTTAAAGCTGATTTACATAAAATCCTACTTCTCAGAGAAACTGCATCTGATATATCAACTACTAGGGAAAATGAGAATGCAAACACAAGAATTCAGTTAGAAGTTAAGAACATAAAAATTACCAGAAAATCTCCATGTTTAAAATGATAGAAATACATCAATAAATAACTTATAGGACAGAAAGGACATCCCAAAGGAAAGTATCAAATATTTTTAACTAGATAACAAAATAACAATATATCAAAACTTGTAAGATATAGCTAAATCCAACTTAGATAAAAACTTATAACCTAAACTGTGTATGTCAAAAAAGAAATGCTGAAAATCAGTGAGTTAGCAACTACCTCAAGAAATTAGAAAAATACCACTAAATTAAACTCAAAGAAAATAGAACAAAATAAGTTGAAATTCATGAACAGAAAATATACATTAAATAGGACTGAAAGATTAAAAATGGTTTCTTCTAAAAGAATAATTAAATTGATAAATCCCTAATGAGACTGACAAATAAAAGATACAGCACAAACAGTATCAGGAATAACACAGAGAACACGGCCTACATATACTAAAAAATAAGAGGATATCATAAACCCCCTTACACCAACAAGTTCAAAAACTGAGACTAGAAAAAATTCCAGAAAAATACAGTGAAATAAAACTGACCTAAGAAAAAACAGAGTATCTTACTTGTCCCACTGTAAAAATTTTTAATGATCTCCCCAAAGAAAGCAAAAGGTCTAGATGGATTCTTCAGCAAATTCTACCAAACATTTAAGAGAAAATTAATTGTAATCATATACAAATTTTTCCAGAAAATAGAAGGAATATTTGTATTTTAATAAGTCAGCATAACTCTGACACTCAGATATGAAAAAGCAATGTTGATCAAAACAATGAAAAGACAAGCAAGAGACCAGGGAAAAATGTTTGCAAGAGGACATTTACCCAAAATATTAAAGAACTTTTAAAATCTCAACAGTAAGAAAACAAGCAACCTAATTAAAAAATGGCCAAAGACCTAAACAGACATCTCGCTAAGGATATATATGGCAAGTAAGCATAAAAAAAGATGTTCAACATCACAAGTCACTAGGGAAATGAATATTCAAATGAGATATCACTATACACCTATCAGAATGACCAAATCCAAAACACTGATACCAAAGAATGTTAGTGAGAATGTGGAGCAACAAGAACTGTCATTCATTACTGGTAGAAATATAAAATGTAGAAGAACAGTTTGGCAGTTTCTTATAAAATTAAACATATTCTTACCATATGATCCAGCATCACACTCCTTGGTATTTACCCAAATGAGTGAAAAACTTATGTCTACCTAAAAACCT